ATGGAGGAAGAGACTGGAAAGGATGTCAGCATCAGATCAGAAAGGATCTTGTAAGTCAGGTAGAGTCTGACCTTGAACGTGATGTGGTATTGAGTCTAGGAAGTGAAGGAAGAGGGTTTCTGCAAGGTTACAAAGCTACTCAGTAGCAGAGGCAGGACTTAAATCCCAGTCTACAGACTCTAGCATTGGAGTCTACAGCCAATGGCCAAGACAGGATTCTTGAACCGTCTTTGGTGCAAAGAGGTGATTTTATTAGAGCGTAGGGTCAGGACCCCTGGGCAGAAAGCTCCATTACAAGTGTGAGGAGCGACCGGATTATATATTTGAGAGTTGGACGAGGTAAGGAAAAAGGAAGGTTTCCAAAAGGACTTTCTATCTCAAGTATTTGTCATTAGGCTGCAGGTCATAAAGCAATGTAATTTTGTTTACATTCCCTTCTGCCTTCGTTTCCCACATCACTCAAGGAGGGGAGGGTGATGTCAGGGCTCCGCAAATTGAGTTATGGGTCTCTGAATGTAAGGCTATTGGTAAGAATGCTTTTTCCTTGTATATCACTAAGACAACAAATTGATGGAGACTTGTATCCTGAGGGGACTGTGATCTTTATCAGTTTAACCATTTGTTTTTCCTTTCCCTTAGTTTTAGGGCTGCCAGAAGTGCCCAAGGAATGCCACACATATCCCACCCAGGAGGGGGGGCGGTTTGTGGAATGTCAACTTGTGCTTTGCCCTCAGCTTGCCTTTTGCTCCCTCAACAAAGGGAATGTCCCCCTTAGGGCCAAAGTTATTCCCTCCATTCTTACCGAATCATGATTTACAGGTCTTTCTTTGAACTAGGGCCCCTTAAGGGCTCAAACCCTATTTCTTGTCCTTTGAATTCACAGTAGCGTACAAGCAATGTGGGAAGTGAAGGAAGGGGGTTTCTGCAAGGTTACAAAGCTACTCAGTAGCAGAGGCAGGACTTAAATCCCAGTCTACAGAGAATTTCTACGTACTGAACCATATTCTTAGCATTTCGATCTGGAAGTAGGAATTGAGATCTTTCACTTAATGCAATCTTCATTGTATTGGAGTTTCTCCTTTCACGGCTTAATAAACTTCTTGCCACTAGGTAGACAAATTCATATCTCAAAAATACTCGGTGGAGGGGCACCTGGCTGGCTCAGTTGGTAGAGGTCGTGAGTTCGAGCCTGATGTTGGGCATAGAGATGACATTAAAAGAAAAAAAAATACGTGGGGCATCTGGGTGGCTCAGTCGTTAAGAGTCTGCCTTCAGCTCAGGTCCTGATCCCAGGGTCCTGGGGTTGAGCCCCACGTGGGGTTCCCTGCTCGGCGGGAAGCCTGCTTCTCCTTCTCCCACTCCCCCTGCTTGTGTTCCCTCTCTCACTGTGTTTCTCTCTGTCAAATAAATAAACAAAATCTTCTAAAAAATAATAAATTAAAAAAAATACACGGTGAAGATAGTTTGATTGCTAAGGATAAAGTAATGATTCCACAAATAATTTTTGCAAGTTACACCAACTTGGCTTTACCCTCCCTCTACACAAGTCGATCTCATTTTGTGTTGTCGCTGGCATTTCTGGTACAAATATCTGTAGAGTATTACTTGCTCTGGACAAAACAGCGACTGATCCACTGAAGCAGACTAAAGAAGGTATAAGCTGGCAAGCACATCAATTCAGACAGGCAGGAAAAACTCTCTTTAACGTTTCCCTCATGAATCACACAATTGGTTTTTCAAGATAACAAATCTGTGTTAAGATCCAAACATGACAAATGAACATCCATCACGTCTATCAGGGAGTCTCATCAGAGAATACTTGTTAAGTCGTCTCGTTTCTCCAGTCACGGATAGGTTACTTAAAATGGTTTCTACGATTCGCCTGGACTCCAGTTTCTCCAAGTCCCAACTCACCCTATATACTATTGCTTAGTGAAGTGTCTTAGCTGTGTGACCTTGGGCAAGTTACCTAACTTCTGTCTCAGTTTCTTCAACTGCTGGGGGCAGGGTGGGTGTTAGATTAGTGTTCTTTCTACTGTATTATTTAGAGCCCCTCCAGTCCCTCAGAGGTACATTGGTGCCACTGAGCCGGTTGGGGGAAAGGTGGGCCACAGGCTGAGTTGGAAGGCCTCTGTGCATCCACTTCAAAACGCAGCAGCTGTTTTAGAAATTATGGGCCTGGGACGCCTGGGTGACTCAGTCATCAGGTGTCTACCTTCCACTCAGGTCATGACCCCAGGGTCGTGGGATCGAGCTCCACATCAGGCTCCCTGCTCGGCGGGGAGTCTGCTTCTTCCTCTCCCACTTCCCCTGCTTGTGTTCCCTCTCTCGCTGTCTCTCGTCAACTAAATAAATGAATTTTTTAAAATAATAAATGAAAAGAAATTATGGACCTGTCTCAAATCTGGTTTGGAAAACAAGTTCTGCTGTTACAGAAAGTTTAAGTACCATTATGTTTACATGACTTTCAAGGGCCCTCCTTCTGGCTCCCTTAAACTAGGGTTTTTTAATGTGATAAAGTATTTACACACAGAAACACAGGAAGCAACTCATTATTACTTTTTTCCTAACCACTTTTTAAGCTGCTGTCATCTCAAAATAGGATGTGATACACTACCTAACATGACAATTGCAATATGTACTCTGAAGGCAGTTGGCAACTCCCATAAAGACTGTCATTTTGAAAGCCATAGGAAAAGGGCATACGAAGTTTAGGAGCAAATTCAAATTCTGCATATGTGTTTTTTTTTTTCTCTTAGGCAACAGCAAATACATAGAAAACGATTATCTTTAGTCTCACAAATTTTTTAAAGATTTTCTTTATTAGAGAGAGAATGAGAGAGAGAGAGAGAAGGAGCAAGGGGAGGGAGGGACAGAAGCAGCCTCCCCGCTGAGCAGGGAGCCAGACATGGGGCTTGATCCTGGGACTCGAGGATCAGGACCCAAGCCTAAGTCAGAGGCTTAACCCACTGAGCCACCCAGGCGCCCCTAGTCTCATAATTACTGAGTTTTCAAGTCTCCCCCACAAGTACTTCTTTGTATTCCTGGCTGAGGCTGACCCTGAAAGTTCAGTTTACTAGAGTAATTAGAGGTGCCAGACAAATCAAATAGGTAATTCGTCAGAGCCACCTTTCTTCCTCAGCTTCTAAAGCTGGGGGCTTGCCAGGAGAGGTTTATTACAATCACCTAGGAAGCTTTGCCAACCTACACTTACGCCCTACTCTCCTCTCCCTCCAGCAAAGGACTGTTTTAGCTTGGGGCTTCACTGCGTCCCACTTAAAAGGTCCTCTCAGTCTTTTTAAATCCTACTCAGTCTGATTGGTGGGTTAAAACAACTGAACTTAGAAGCCACTGGCTTTGTCACAACTAGTTGAGCAAGTCACTTAAGCTTCGGTCTCAGTTTTTTCCTCTGCTTTTTGAGGTTCCCTTCTAGCTTTGAAATTCTGACTGCGTATCATGTCTAAGAAGCTTTCTGAAGTACTCTTCGCATGGAATGACTTATTGCTTGGTTTTCCGACAGCCTATGCAAGACAACAGATCCCTTGGTTCTATACTATCCTATATTGCCCTCTAGTTGTTCTTACGTGAATTTTTTTCCTTCTCAAATATACGTAGTTTAAAATACACGTAGTTTAAAAGCTGATTTTTCCAGGTTAGACGGTGTGCGTTCTGCTCTACCTAACTTCCCCCAGGACAACTTGGGGTGTGTCGGAAGTTAATCAGTGTATATTTCTGTTGATTCGTTCAAAGCAATGGCACCCCTTCTGTCGAAGTCTTGGAATTAAATTTTTATATCAGCGCTGTCCGGTAGACATGTAATGTGAACCCCACATGTAATTTTAAGTTTCCTAGTGCACACGTTAAAAAAAAAAGCGAAAAGACACAAGCGAAATCAATCCTAATAATATCTTTACCCCAACATATGCAAAATATTAGCACTTTAACACATCGGTGTAAAAACTGAGATAGTTTATATTCTTTTTCCGTCCTGTGTTCGAAATTGGGTCTGTATTTCACATCTACAGCCCATCTCACCTCAAAATGGCCACATTCAGGGGCTCAGCAACCCCATGTGGCTAGAGGCTAGCCTACTCACCGGCGCAAGTCCTGTATGTGCTGCTTCCCAACCGATCATTTACTTTTCCATTCTTAGGACACTGAGCCCTAGATAAGACCCAGGCACTGAGTGAGGGGGAGCGGTGTAAAAATCAGTCAGACCCATTCAGGTAAGGGGGATAGCTTGGTATATCCCTAGCTGTGATAGACTGTCGTAGGTGCTCTGCCAGACAGTCCCCAAAAGTGAAAGTTTTCCGTGGCTTGGCGGGGGAGGGGGTTCAAGGAAGGTACCTTCGAGAGGAAGCTGGCTATGGAGTAGAATTGTGAGGGATGCGTGTGTGTGTGTGTGTGTGTGTGTGCGTGTGCGTGGGTGGGTGGCAGCGGGCCACAGGGGTGTCTGAGGGAGGGGTGGGTGCGTGGTGGTAGGGGTGTGTAGGAGCGGGGCCAAAAGGAAGTAGGTGTTCAGGTTGTGAGTGCGTGTGTGTAGGAGGGATGACGTGCAGGGGAAGAGGGCGGGCGGGAATTGGCTGGGAGGAGCCCGGGGCTCTAGCTGCTGGACGCACGGAAGCCGGAGGGGGGCGCCACTGGCACTTCGCACTCGCGCGCGGCTATGACCGAACCCCGGTGCGCGCGGCCTGACGGTCGGGGCTGCTGGCTGCCCCGGCCCCTCCACCGAGCGAGCGCATCGCGAGGTCAGGCGCGCACCCGGCCGGCTCCCGCAGCGCGCCCGCTCCCGCTCTGAATTCAACTTTGTCCCGCCAGGGAACTAAGCTCAGAGCCAGTGGAACTTCCCAGGCCGGCGTCGGCGACGAGGAGTGACCAGTAAATCAGCACGTAAGGCTGTGCTTGCTTGCTTGCTTTCAGCAGATGCCTAAAACTTGCGATAGGCAGCAGCCCGCAAAGATGAGTCTATGGAAACGGTTGCCAGGGTCGGCGACCAGCGGCTTCCGTTAGTCCTCTGACGCTTTGGTAACAATGGAGCGACTGGACCAATGCGGCGCTCCTTCCGGTTTCGTGCCTGCTCGCAGAGTTCTTCTTCTGCCAAGTTTCCCTTTGACCCCGGAAGTGAGGTCTTTCGCGTTCCTCCCTCCCCCAAAATGGCAACAGCCGAAGACGTGCTGCTGCTGCCGCGGCTCCCCGAGCTGTTCGAAACCAGCAAGCAGCTTCTAGACGAAGTGGAAGTAGCGACTGAACCCACCGGTTCGCGAGTGATCCAGGAAAAGGTGTTCAAGGGACTAGACCTCCTTAAGAAGGCTTCCGAAATGTTATCTCAGCTCGACTTGTTCAGGTATGGGAGACAGGGTAATAACGGTTGAGAATGGAGGTAATAATGGTTACCAAGGGTGGAGTCATGGAGCCGGGGTGGAGGAGACCCTTTAAAAAGGCCTGGGAACCTTTTATTCCTACCTCCCTTCTCGATCTGATGTACTTTGTTTACATTCTCCACCTGTCTTGGAGACAGTTGATATCCCACGACTCTGCTCCCTAGGGTTGGCTCTTTGCACAGGCGTTGGGTGTGAGCGGTCAGCCACTTTCACTCCCCCAGCCTTCTCCCCCCACACACCCACCGCAGCCCTCCTGTCCCCCCGGGAAGCAAGGGCCACAGTGTGAATGGCCGTCTAGGCTTCACAGCCTCCTCTCTGCTCTTTCCAGCCGAAACGAAGATTTGGAAGAGATTGCTTCCACCGACCTGAAGTACCTGATGGTGCCAGCATTTCAAGGAGCGCTCACCATGAAACAAGTCAACCCCAGCAAGCGTCTAGATCATTTGCAGTGGGCTCGAGAACACTTTTTAAACTACTTAATTCAGTGCCAGTACTATCATGTGGCAGAGTTTGAGCTGCCCAAAACCAAGAACAACTCAACTGATAATGGCACTGCTAGTTCCTCCATGGCCTATCCTAGCCTCGCTGCTATGGCATCGCAGAGACAGGCTAAAATAGAGAGGTGGGTCAATAGCTATGCTCTGAGGACTGCCCATTGGCCCTGCTGTTGGGGGGCGGTGGATGTTTTGGGGGGGCGGGGAGGGGAAAAGTGGTGTCTCTCGTTTGGTTTCTACTGAGCATTAGGCCTCTGCTTTTGATGAGATGCTCATACCTAACCACCAGGCCCTGCCACTGGTGGGGTAGATATCTCTGAAGGTCTTGTAGTTCTAATCCATCTACAATCCACTGAGTGAGAAGTTCTGTCCAAACAGAGTAATGGATCAGGTGTGTAATATCCTGAACTAATCTTAGTCCTAGCACAGCTTCCTCGTGTGCCCTTGAACAGGTTGCTTACTCTCAGTCTTTTTTTTTTTTAAGATTTATTTATTTTTTTGACAGAGATCACAAGTAAACAGAGAGGCAGGCGGGAAGCAGGCTCCCTGCTGAGCAGAGAGCCTGATGTGGGGCTTGATCCCAGGACCCTGAGAACATGACCTGAGCTGAAGGCAGAGGCTTAACCCACTGAGCCACCCAGGCGCCCGCTTACTCTCAGTCTTAAAAAAAAACGTTAAATGAGTGCTTACAGTGTCTAGGAGCTACTGTAGGCACTGGAGATACAAAGTGAGTGTGGGTGTTGGGATGAGTATGGGTGAAGGTCTCCACCTTGCAGGGCTATATAGTTTGGAGAGGTATTTAAGCAAAGTAGCAGTGTAAAATGATGTGATAGAGAAATGCACAGGTACTGTGAGAGCAGACAGGAGGGAAACCTAACCAAAGAGGGAGCAGCAGAGAGAAGCCTCCCTGGCAGAGGTGACACCTGTGATGAGTTGTTTAAGGAGGGGTAACAATATTACCTAGAGGAAGAGAAAAGGAGGGCATTAGCCAGCAGAGGTTAGTAAAGCCACCGGGTATTAAAGAGCGCAGTGCCGGGGTGGGGATGTGTGGGTGGGGAACAACTATAAGCGATCAGATGATGCTAGAACATAAAGTGGGGTGGTGGAGAAGAGGAAGGAAGGATGCTGAAGAATATTGTGGGGTCCAGACCAAGGAGAGCTTGGGATGCGAGGAAGGTGAAGGAACAGCCCTGCTGCTAAGAACTTGGGAAGGGATCTGAATCCCAGTTCCACCATTTGATCAGTCTAACATTGGGTAAGGTGCTTCATCTCTTGGTGGCCTTCATTTCCCGAGCTATAAAATCGGATAATAATAATAGGTATTTCTTCCTAAAGTAGTTTGGAAGCTTAAAAGAGAAATACATAAAAAGCCCTTAGCACCGTGGCAGGTGTAGTGAGTACTCAAAGTCAGCTGTTGTTCTGTCTGTGTAGCTGAGTACAGGTTGTGGAGTCAGAGGCCTGGGTCTGAGACCCAGCTTTACTTATAAGCCACCAGACTTTGGGCAACTTATCTAGCCCATCTGAGCCTCAGGATTCCTCATGGGTGCAAGTTACAAGGGTCCCATCTTGTAGGACCAAGAAATGTAACTAAGATAGAGCCCAGAAAACAGCACAGCATCTGGCACATAGTTAATATTCTGTGAGTGTCACCTACTAGCAGGCCATACTGAAGAACCTAAACTTTGGTTCATGACTGGGATCCACTGGAGGCTTTTGGTTTTGGGGATTTTTAAAGAGTTGAGTGGTCATCTTTGCATTTTGAGCAGTACACACAGGCAGTGGTTAGGAAGCAGTGGGATGGAGTTAGGTCACAAGTGACAAGGCCTCACTATGGCAATGGCAGAAGAGATGAGGGGGATATATTTATTTAGAAGGATTGAAGCTGCAGAAAACCTGGTGATCTGTTAGTTCTGGGAAGTGGCGTAGATGGAGGCAACAAGGAAGAGGTCCATGTTTCTGTCATAGGTGCATGGCTTGTGGAACTCACTAAGATGGAGAATAGAGGAGGAAGAACAAATTGGGGTGGGAAAGTATAGGAATTCAGTACTGAGGTGTGCTGCATTTAAGGTGTGTAGGAGTCATCCAAGTAGAGGTATCTGGTAGTGTGTGGCTCAGAGGAGAGGTCTGAGCTAAAGACTACAGAGCTGATACTTGATCCATTCACTTGACAGGTACGTTTTGAGCCTTTCTAGTGGGCCAGGAACTGTTCTAAGTCATGGAGAATCAGATGAAATCCATGCCCTCATCAAGCTTTTATTTTGGTGGAAGAGTCAGATAGTGCGCTAATAAATAATCATGGAATTTCAGGTCGTATGGCCTATGAAGGAATAATGAAGTACGGTTCAGGGTTTGCAACAGTGAGTAATTTTGGAGGAACTGGGATAGACTGATAGGATGCGGAATTCAGCATCCCATCTTTTGTCAGAAGATGGGGGTGGCCCGTTGGCAGGTAACAGGTGGTTTAAACAGTGAGTTTGATACCCAGATAATTATGGTACACCCAGAAACAGGACTATAAGTGCCACAGGGATACAGGGCTGTAGAGAAAGACCAGGGAGTGAGCACATCTGGTTGGAGGGATGAGGTCAAGGTTTCAGCATATAATGCATTTGAGATGAGCCTTGAATTGTGCTTAAAAACAGAAATTACAGATTTTCCTGAATGTAAACATAATAATACTCATTGTAGAAAGTTTGAATACCCGTATTTTTTTAATTAAAAAGGTCTTGGTTCCAGCATGCAGAGATGATCTGTGTTAACTTCCTGATGTATTTCCTTCCAGATACATAGTTATTTTAGGTAATAAATTTGGAATAATACTGTATATATAGTTTTTTATCCTTTTCAAACCTAACATTGTGAGCATTTCTCCGTGTCTTTTGAAACCATGATATTTAATGGTTACCTGATATTCCATCCCATAGTTGTGCCATTATCATTCAAACTAATCTTTTATTGTCAAATACTTAGACCATGTATAGGTTCTGGGTATCAGATTTGTTTTTGTTTGTTTTCATTCTTCTAAGTAGCCTTGGGAACAGACATCTTTAAGTGCATCTGTCACTGTTTCCTTAGGATAGATTTCTAGGACCAGTGACTAGATCAAAGGGTTTGAGTACTTGAAGACTCTTGAGGGTAGCAACATTGCTTCCCACAATAACACGGCTTTAGAATACATCCCACTGCATTGGCCTAGATGTTAACACTTAGAAAATCCAATTGGGATACCAAAAAAGGTATCTCATTGTTTTTATTTGCATTTCTTTGCCTAGAAAGCTTGGTCTTTGAACATTCTTCAAAAATGTCTGCAAGACAAAATAATAGTGTTCTCTCGATGCTAATGGCTCCCACCTGTACATCACCAGCCCAGACCTTTCCTGACCCTCAGCTTCATACTTCCAACACCCTACATGGATGTTTCACAGACATCTCAAACTTAACATGGCCTCAGCTGAACCCTTGGCTTTTTAATCCCCAGAGTGCCCCCACACCCAGGGCTTCACCATCTCAGTGAGTGGCACCGCCATTCACCCAGATATTTAAGCCAACAGCTAGGAGTTAGCCTCAGTTCCTCCCTTCTGACTCTCCAGCTCCGGGTCCACCGGCAAGAATGAGTCTTACATCCTGTTTCTTGAGTTCTCCGTGGTCGCACCTCAGTGCAGGCCCCTAGCACTTCACCTGGAAGAGCCATCCCACTAACTCCAGGGTCCTGCCCAGTCTGGCACCTGCTTCTCTTCGATCTTGCCTTGTTGACTGGATTCTAGCCGTAATCGCTTTCCTCCGATCCTTTGCACAGACCTAACTCCTTCCTTCTACAGTCTTTGTACATGTTCTTTTTGCATGAAATGCCCTTTGTTTTTCTGTCTTCCTGGGCTTTGTCTTCTCTACTAGAATGTATACTCCTTAACGGCAGGAGCGGCCTCTCTCTTGATCGCAGCGGTGTGTCTAGCACATGGCCCCGCACATAGGAGGTGCTCAGGCAGCACTTACTGTTGACAGGCAGGAGGAATAACAAGAGCAGAGGCCCCAGCAGAGTAATTTGAGGTACGTACAGGGTGTGCAGACCAGTCTAGTTTGGAAGAAGCTGGGAGTACTCTGGTCAGAGATCTGCAGAAGGAAGTGATGTGTACAGAATCCCGAAAGGGAAGAGAGTGGCAGAAAGACAAATTATCACATTATAATAGCACTTCAGCTGGGAAAAGCGATAAAAGTGAAGTGACAGCTGTCAGAGGTATTACTGGTGCAAGAAGCATTGATAGGATTAGAAACCACATTATTGAGATCCTTTTTATTTTCGGTTAAGTCCTCCCTCCTCCGCAACACCACGACTTTACGCACTGAGGCCGTCCTACACAGAACACCCAAGTGGTATATCCTCTCTCAAAACCCATTTCTTCACATGTCCTCTCTATTCTGATTGCCATCTCTGAGAGTGTGAGTCTGGTTGATTAGCTGTGCCAGAAACAGAAGGGTAGAAGCTGGGTGAGCCATGAGTCTGGTGTTCTCACCGAACTGAGATTCTGAAGTGACAGCCAGGTACGTGTCCGTCAGCAGATGGACGTGTAACTGAACCTTAGGGGACTGGTAGCTGGTGCTAAAACTTCAGGAGCTTTGGAGGGTATGGATTACTGAGGGAAAACATGTAGCGAGAAAAAAAGCCAAGGATAAAAATTGGGCAAGTTAAGGGAGGAAAAAGAGGCAGGAAAGAGCAATCAGAGGTCAGAGACTCAGCAGGAGGCTTACAGAAGCCTGGGGAAGAGAGAGCAAATGACTTGTACTCTTTGAAACGTCTCCCTGTCAAGCCCCCTCCCAGATACTGTAGCATTTACGTTGGTCATTCTCTCAACTGGAAACTCCTAGAGGTCAGAGACCTGGACTCACTGCATCTTTAGTATCCTAATGTATCATTGTCCTTGGGGACCCAACCTAGTCAGTGGATCACAGTAGGTATGTGAAGTAGCTTGGGAGGACCAGATAGGGTGTTCATCAGAAAAATGGAAGCAATGTGGTGTTGCACATAAAGCCTGGACTTTAGAGTCAGATGGACCTGGAGCAGCCAGTCCAGTTTCTTCCACTTAACAGATGGGGCATCACCTAGCCCCTCCTGGCCTCCTCTTTCCCATCCCCTGACAGTATCTGTATCCTGTCACTGCTTATGAAGGACTTTCATGTGTATTGTTCCATCTGATCTTCTTAACCCCAGGAAATGGATCTTCTCATCTCCATTTTAGAGCTAAGGAAGTGGGTTACAAGAATTTACTTGTCCAAACTTAACATACCTTGAAAGTGTCCAGGCTACAATTTAAACTCAGGTCTTCAAATTCCCAGTTCTCTGCAATATAGCACGGAAAAGAGAAAAGTGGTCCTTTGAAAGGATAGAATATGCCTTGAGGGAAGGTGTTCTCTAAGATAGGGGAAAAGGCCTCAGTAGAGTGAAAAGTTGTAACTGCTGTTGACAGGATGATTGACAGAGTGAGGCCTGGGGAGATGTGGGTAGGGACAGGATCGATAGCAAAAGCGGAATGGTAAAGACCTTGCCCTAGTGAAGACAGGGTTAGCTCCTACTTAAAGCCGATGAAAGGTGAAATTACAGAGAATGTAAGGGAAAGAGGGATACTGAATTCTGTATCATTTGGCCATCTGGTGAGTGTGATGGGGGTGTGGAATCCACAAAAGATGAACAGAAGGACAGCTGAGCACAAGTGACCATTCGGCTGAAGTTTGATCATTTGAATATGTCGTTGACTCATTTGACACAAATTTGTCCTTCGTTAGCTCTCTGCAGCAGCATGAGAACAGATCAAGGAAATGGGGACCATTGTCCAGAGTCAGATGGGTGACAGGCATTGGGGATTCTAAGATGGTAGGGAGTGTTTCCATGTAATGTCTTGCCATGGGAAATCTAAAACAGTGATGAAGGGCCTAGGGCAGTGGTTTTCAGTCCGTTCCTCAGAGCTCAGAAGAATCCATCCCAGTGTCGGGGTAGGGGCAATGTTGGGAGCTCTCCTCTTGCTTTAACTAAGGTGGATTTTTATCTGTTTATTACTTATTGGAGTTCCAGATAAGTTCTCATAAGAAGAAAGAGTTCTTTGGCTAAGACCAAAAGGTTTAAAAAAAAAAAAACACTGGCCTAAAAAAAGCAGGAGTGGAAGAGCTAAAGTTTCAAAGATGACCAGAGTGAAGTCACAGGAGCGAGGACATGAAGAAGCAGCCTGTGAGCAAGGTTAGACCACAAGTACGCAGAGAATGGGAAAAGGAAGTGCAAGAACCTTATCCTAAAGGACCAGTAGACTGACCCAGAAATTACCATGGATTATATACATTCTAAGGCCCTGGTAGGTTTGTTGTTGTTTTCCTGCTGTAGGTACATCCAGGAAAGAGGGTAGGGATAGGAGTGGGGCCAGAATTAAAAGTTCTCAAGTGATACCTGTAATAGCGTTTGTGATCTAGGATTTTCCCTTTGTAGCGTTTCGCTCAGAGGCTACTGATGTTGGCGCTGGGACGGTTATTTGTAACATCACATAAACTGTTCCACTTGTTGGGTAAAAGGATCAGAAGAGCCTAAGAGGTATGTATAATAAAGAACGGCTCCAGAGCAGTGGTTCTTAACTTTTCACGGGTCATGGGTCTTGATAATCTGATAAAAACTATAGACCTCAAAAAAAAAAAAACAAAAAACTGTAGACCTCTCCCAGGTCCAAAAAAAAAAAAAAGATAGACTTTTGCATATCTCAGGGAATTCAGAGCCCCCCTCCCACCAGACTCTATCCGTGGACCTCAGGTTAAGAACTCCAGATTGGGGTGAACACCTGCAGAGGGGCATCTGATTCTGGAGATCCAGATTGGGGTTCCATTCATGGCTATTTCGAAAGACTTCTCTTGGAAATCGTGGAACTTTTCCTCGACTTCTCTCTCTCTCCCTCTCTGTCTCTCTTTCTCTTTCTCCCTCAAGCCCTTAACATCCAGTACATCTGTTTTACATTTTAAATACATCCACATCTCACCATCTCCCTATCTCAAGTGACTATCTCTCATCTAGATGGTAGCAGCATCCCCTTAGTTGATGTCTCCACTTCCCTCCTTGCCTCCCCTCCCCCACAGGCTGCACTCCGCACCACAGCCAGAGTGGCCCATATAAAAAAAGTTTTCGTGTCACTGTATTCGTGTCATGTATTCTCTTCAAAAGCCTCCAGTGGCTTTCCTGTCTCAAAATATCATGGTATTTGGTATTGAGGGTCTTACAGCCTACAGGGTTCTAGAAATTATAGCCATGGCTATCCCTCTTCTCTCATTTGCTGTCATTCTTCTTCACTCCATGCCAGCCACACTAGCCTACTTTCTAGTTCTCAGACACTGCAAACCAAGCTCTCTCCCACTCTGAGACCATTACACTTCCTTCCCCGCCCCCAGCCCAGGGAAGCCTCTTTTACATATTGGCGTGGCTTGCTTCCTGCTTGAAGTCTTTGCTCCAATGTCACCTCCTCCTGATGGCCTCGTATGTAATAGCACTTTTCCTCTTGTGCCATCATTCTGTCCACTCTACCTTGCCTTTTGCTTCTTCGTGGCACTTATCACCACTTGACCCATCATCCCTTCTTGTCAGCTTCCCCTAGAATGAGAGCTTGAGGAGAGCAAGGACTTCCTTGTCTACACTGCTACATGTCTGGCACTGAGCACAGTGTCGGTCACACGGTAGGTACTCAGTAAATACTTTTCAGGTGAATGAACGCCTTCTGGAAAAGGCAAGGCAGGATTGTTGTGAATCTTTCAATTATATTAGGACAAGGCAGGGGCACCTGGCTGGCTTGGTCAGTAATAGAGCATGTGACTCTTGATCTCTGGGTCGTAGGTTCAAGCCCCATGTTGGGTATAAAGCTTAATTTAATGTGATCATATAAATAAAAGCACTTAGCATAGCACTTGTCCTTGAGAAAAATACAATACAAGAGACTATTTCCTTGGTTCACACAATATGATTTCCTTAGTAAAAGGATGAGCCAGAAGACCTAAGATTGTTTTTCCCAGAAGAGATGAAGAGATGACTACTTTTTTTAGGCTCTTTCCCAAGGAATTCCCACATTGTGGCAGGTAAACAACCCCCAAGATTCTGTGATTCTTTGAAGTGGCAGTTCCCCCAATGGATGTTGATACTAAGTATCCAAGTTAGTAAGGTTCGATGTAATGAAATTACTGAGGGACTCCCATCTCTAAAGATGATGAGGTGGGGGGAGTGGCTCAGATCAGGTCACTTCTGTATTTTTCTGGCTTTGGGAGGTATTGGGCCCTGCTGATCCCTTCCATGCCCTGGCAGTCTTGAGGACTTGCAGCCTTGGTGGCAAGTTCTGGGTATTGAATCTGTATTTTTGCCCAAGCGGAAACTGGCATATTTACTGCTTGGTCACTTGGAAAAGGGAAACTCTTACTGTGGCCTTCTTTGAAGGAATACCTCTTTATTTTGAAGTTCATGGGCAATGCTTTTCTGTGGAACAGATACAGGCAGAAGAAGGAAGTGGAGCATAGGTTGTCTGCACTGAAATCTGCTGTGGAAACTGGTCAAGCAGATGATGAGCGTGTTCGTGAGTATTACCTCCTTCACCTCCGAAGGTGGATTGGTATCAGCTTAGAAGAGATTGAGAGCATTGACCAGGAGATGAAGATCCTGAGAGAAAAAGACTCCTCACCAGAGGTAAGCCTGCTCACTGCCTATACAGCTCAAAAAGCTGCTGTCAGTAGATTAGAATGTTCAACAGGGGAGCGATTGAGTTAAAATCCTTTTAAGTTTGAAGTCTCCATAAAATCACTGTCCCTTTTAAGCTTAGTGGAGAAAGGCTGAAGGTCGACTAGGGTAGCCTCTCCAGCTTGTGGTGGTATTCCCCAGTGCTTCCTTACCTGTGACATGCTAATAGCCACGTGTAATTTTGTGATATAAGTTGGTTTGGGCTGTGGGAAGTCCTGACCACTGAAGGAATGCATAGGGAAGGTTGGCTTTTAAAATCTGTGCTTGACTGTAATAACCAAAGGAGACGAGGAACAGGATGGGAGGGGAGAGGGAAAGTGGCACCGGAGGAGGGAGAGAAAAGACTAGAAAGAAGAAAATAAAAGGAACGATCGGGAATATATTTAGGTTGGGGGAGGAATCCGAATTTAACCTTACATGGTGATGCACTCTCACATCCTTAGACCCCTCAGGTATGAGACACAGAAGGACTTCTCCACGCACAAAGTGTTGGGTGTACTGGTAAAAACCCGCCATGACACAGCTTTGGCTATCTTTGAAAATTGTCTCCCTGTTTTGGAGCCACTGCTTTAAAAGATTAGGCCCTGCTCCCACTTCCTTTTTGGTTCAGGATCCCAACATGGGTTGAGTTGAATTCATCAGCTTGCCACAGGCATTGATTTAAGTCCTCAGAGAAACCTCTTCCTAATTTGACTTGTACTCATTAGCCCAGAAGCTTAGACCTCTGGGTAACATCAACCTCGTTCCTCCTGGTAAAGGATCAAAGCATAAACAGTATTCTGAGGCCATAAGGCCCCAGAGCCTATCTAGGTGAATGGCTTACAGGCGTTTTGAGGCTGGACTCTTCTGTGTCCTCCCTTTCCCTGTCCCGTCATCGTCGTTGTTGAATGTGCTCTTATTTGGTATTGGGATTGGCCCTGGAAGTGATGAACCTAGACCCAGGCGAACACCTTTCTTCTGACCAGACTTTGTTTCCATATGCCCCTGGAGAGCCCAGGTTCCTTCAAACATTTCTGTATGCCATGAAATGGCATACAGAACACTAAATGTTCCCCCTTGCCTTTGGGAACACCCTCTTCTAAAAACCTAGGGGTTCTTGACAGTTAATTGCATAGTGACGTCAGAGGGGGGTTTCAGAAGAAGGGTCTCCATGATTCATCTTTAGCACTGAAGGCCAGGCTGAGGAAAGGGATTCAGGTTCAGCTCAAGGGATTTAGCTGGACCACGGAAAAAGCCTTTGGAATCTCCTCCTTTGGAGGGGAGATTGTAAAGCCAGGGAATCTTTTTTTTTTTAATTTTGGTGAGGTGATTTCTGGGAGAGCTTTCTCCTCCTCTTCATTCAGCCTGGTCCTCCGGGCTCCTCAGGAGAGCTGAGCAGCCTCCGCCATTAGTATTCCTCTGCTGTCTCTGAGAGACCGAGAAATAGGGAGTGGGCAGAGTTTGACTCCAGGGCTTTTCAAGTGCCAGAAGACTTAAGAGCCTGCGTAGCAGGTAGGCAGAGTGGCAGAAATGCACTTCTCATCACTTAATTTCCTTTCCAGGCATCAACTTCTCATTCAGCTCGTCAGGACAGGCCTCCAATGAAACCCTTCGTTCTCACACGGAATGTGGCCCAAGCCAAGTAGGTAGTACTGAAAAGTGGGTTGCCTTTGTAGGCCCCCTGCTTTTGTGATTCCATTGGGTGCATGAGTAACGGATAGAACGGGCACTGTGGAAAGGCCACGTGCTTGCCTGTGGTGGCTGTTCTTTCATCAGAGGGATGTAGCTTGAATATATATGTCTCTCTTCATCAGACGTTTCCCTCACAAACTCAAGCTTAACAGTAGGCCCAAAAGGAAACCGACAAAAATAAATAAATCAGAAGGAGGAAAGGAATCTCATGGAGAATTGCATACTTCACTTGTTTCCCATTATTGCTTTCAGCTGCAATTCTCAAAAGGACATATTTGCCTATTAAGGATTTAATTCTGAGCTCCGGAGATGCTTTTCCACATGGTGGCAGGAAAATCTCCTTCCTCTGTGTACCTTTTAGACCCGCCAACTATAAATACCCTTTCCACATTGTCATCACCACTTTGTGGGACATTGGCCCCTGGGACTGTTTTCTGGGCGATGATCCTGAGCTATTTATCTTCTCATGAAAGCCCTTGACTTTAATGCACCTTCCTGGATGTCTGTTTTTACATATCTTCACAGGAGTTTACACAGCTCCTCAGAAGATAGCTGGGCAGGGGAGCAAGGACGAAACAGAGACAGGTTTTGTCACTAAAGAGAAGAGGCTTTTGAATAGTGCTGTTTCTGTTTGGTTTTCTAAATGTAATGTGATTCTTGCAGAGTATTTGGAGCTGGTTATCCAAGTCTGGCATCTATGACGGTGAATGACTGGTACGATCAGCATCGGAAATACGGAGCATTACCAGATCAGGGCATAGCCAAGACACCACCAGGTAAGACGGGGTAGGGAGAAAGTAGTTACACTTTTGGTTCCTTGATCCTTAGCAATTAAATTCAGACCAAGTGTTGTTGCCTTTTAGGAGCAGAAGTAATCTGGACAAAGATGCTAGGCAGTATTTTTGTTTTATCTATTATGGAGATAAGTAGCAGGTGATTCTGGGAGGATGGGAGCAGTGGCTGCATGATTTTGGAATCCTTTCAGATGTCCTGGCATTAAAAACAGACTAAGCAGCTAGATAGCAAAAGCAAAAGTGCCATGGATGGCAGTTCCACTTCTGGTAATGGTGCAGTAGGTTGTATTGAGGCCAATCCCTCCCACAGACAACAACTACAAACTGAAGAAGTTAAAACAACCACCCAGAGGAGCTAGAGAATGCCCAAGAGCAGACACAGGCGGGAGGGCAGTCAACACTTAGAAGAAAGGAGAAGGCGTGGTTGGAATTTCTTGAGGGCAGGGTCTTTGACTTAATGGTATTCTTGGTGCCAACTTGATAATTGGGTCATGGTACATACTTGGATGCATCTTCGGATGGGAAAGGTGGAGAGGGTGGCCATTATAAAGATGAAAGCAATATGATGTATTAGAAAAGGCATGGATAGACCTGGGGTAACCTATTATTCCTGCCGCTTAATAGATAGGACATCACCTAGCCCCTCAGAGCCTCTGTTCCCTTATCTTGTATATTATCTCATTTGATCCTCCTAACAACCCTGTGAGGCAGATGCTCTTATCCCCATATTAGGATGAGGAAATGGTATCTGAGAACTGACTACACAAAGTCAGCGTAGCTAGAAAGTGGCCAGAGTAGGATTTGAATTTGGGTCCTAAAATTCACAATTCTGAGGCTCTTTCCACTATAGCACAGAGAAGAGAAGAGTGGTCATTTGGAAGGGTTTCCTGTTTTTTACAGCTTCTTACCCATTGGCAGTCTGCAGTTGTGGTGACATGGGGGTAGGTGAAACTTGGATAGGAATGTACAGTCTTACTGGTTGAGAAATGAGAGAAATGAGACGATATCCCATAAAGGAGAGGACCACAGAGGAGGAACCCTGATTCTCTACATGCACCTCGCCTAAATCTCAGGCTGACGCCTAAGCTGTGCATGCCCGGGCAAGCTTCCTAGATAGGGCTGAGATAACTCATGGGAGGATTCAGCTGCTGCCCGATGCAGAGGCAAGAGAATTTAGAATTTTTGGTTCTAGACAAATTAACTGCCTGCTAAAATGAAAAATCAGTACTCTTTAAAGGAACGAAACAGAATTCAGAGTCTCTACAACATACCCTACAACATACCATTCACAAGGTCTGGGATGTAATCCTAAACTACTATGTATTGAGGAAGGAAAAATAGGAAAATGTGACTTATACTCAAGAGAAAAGGCAGTCATTGGAGACCAATCCTAGATGATGCAGATGTTGAAATTAGCAGATAAGGACTTTAAAGCAGCATATTTGCATGATCAAGGGCAGAGGGGAAAATGTGCTTGTAAAGAATGAAAAAAAATCTCAGCAGGTAATATCTAATATAATTTAATATTTAAAAACATAGCTGCTACCCAGAGGTAAGTATTATTTTAGCCCATGTGGACCACTGACCCCTCTTGAAATTATAACATACACATTCCTAAATCATTGTGGGTAGACTTTCAAATATCTTGACTTATTTCTGGACATGCAACGTGTTTATAAACCTCTTAATCTTTAGCAACAATTAGAAAACACCTCCTGTTTTAAAACACTTCACAAGTTCTACTTAGTGTCAGCCATTGCCAGCACCCTGTCACTAGAGAATCCAGCAATATCTGGTATGTTGCAAGCTTTTAAGATAGCCTGAACTTTAAAAAGTTGTGACCGTCAGTTGTGTCTGACGGATGTAAATTTGCGTCCTAGTTCACTTTGAATCAGAAGCTAAAACCGTGAGCCTTACTTTGCCTTATTGGTGGGTAATAACTGAAAATAAATATGCTCACAAAAAGAAACAAGGAAAAAGAAACAGCAGCAAAGTAGGAACTATGCACAAGAAATTCTGAAACTGTAAAGTACAATAACTCAAGTTTGGAAACCTATTAGATGAGCTTAATAGCAACTTGGCAGTAACAAAAGACAGTGTCATTTAACTCAAAGATAGATCAGTACCAGTTGGGCAGTCTGAAGAACAAAAAATTGGAAAAAAGTGAAACAGCCTCTGTGACCTGTGGAATAAGGTAAGAAGTTCGATCGTATGTACAGTTGAAATACCAGTAGGAAAGGAGAGAGTGAGCGAGAAGGGGCCAGAAAAAAAATTGAAAAAAAGATGGCTGAAATGTCCCTAAATCAGTGAAATACAAATTTACAAATTCAGAAACCTAATCAAGCCCCAGGCAAGTTAAATTACAAAGAAAACCACACATAGGCACATCATAGTCAAACTGCTGAAATCAAAGAAAAAGAGAAAATCTTGAAAGCATCAAGGGGTAAAGGACATGTTACACTTAGAAGAACAATGATACGAGTTGTTTCTGACTTCCCATTAGAAACAGTGGGAGCCAGAGACAGTGGAACGACATCTCTTAAGTTTTGGGGGTGGAGAGACCTGTCGTCCCAGACTTTTATAGCCATTGAAAATATCCCAAAAAATGAAGGCATAATTAAGACATTTTCAGTTAAAGCTAAAGGAATTCTTCACCAGGAAACTGGCGTTATGAGAAACTCTGAAGGAAGCTCCTTGGGCTGACGGGAATGAACTACATATGGCTTCTTTAGGGAAAAATTATATTATTGTCCAGTGGGGATTATACTGTATGTAGATGTAATACATATGGCAGCCATAGCAACAGTGATGGACTAGATGGAACCATTTTTTGTGAGATTCTTTCGTTTTATGTAAAGTGGTACATAACATCTATTGCTGTGTAACAAATTACTGCACAATGTCACAACTTAAAATTATTAATAAACATTATTGTCACATATTTTCTGAAGTTGAGGAATCCAGGATCAACTTCACTGGGTGATTCTGGCTTAGGATCTCCTAAGGTTTCAGTCAAGCTGTCAGCTGGGGCAGCAGTATTCTGAGAGCTTGACTAAGGCTGGAGGATCTGCTTCCAGCTCACTGGCTCATTCATGTGGCTGTTGGCAGGAGACCTCCCCTTGTGGGCCCCCCATGGGGTTGCTCACAGCTAGGAGCTTCCCTTCACCCAGAGTGATCTGAGTGAGAATGATCAGGATAGAAGCCCCCGTATCGTTTATAACCTAACATTGGAAGTGACACAGCATGACTTCTGCCATATTCTGTTAGTCACATAGTATGGGAGAGGACTCCATAAAAGCTTGAATACCAGGAGGCTGAGATAGCTGGGGTCCGTCTTTGAGGCTACCTCCCACATGGTTCAATATTAGCTCTAAGTAGACTGGAAAGTTAGGAAGGAATATTGTATTACCTAGAGCAACCACTTAAAAAATAATCTTCAAGGGGCACCTGGGTGGCTCAGTCGGTTGAACATCCAACGCTTGATTTCAGCTCAGGTCATGATTTTCAGGGTCATGAGATGAAGGCCTATGTCGGGCTCATGCCTTCTGCTTGGGCTGCTCCCTCTCCCTCTGCTTCTTCCCCTGCTCACACACCCTCCCCCATAAGTAAATAAAATCTTTTTAAGAAATAATGCATCAAGAGGATAAGAAGACAAGCCACAGACCGGCAGAAAATATTTACCAAAGACACATCTGATAAAAGACTCTTATCTAAAACATATAAAGAATTCTTAAAACTCAATAATCGGGGAACAGACGTACCCCCAATTAAAAAATAGGCAGAAGACCTAAATAGATACCTCACCAAAGAAAATCTCCAGAGGGCAAAGAAGCATATGAAAAGAAGCTCAACGTCACATGTCATTAGGGAATTGCAAATTAAAACAACAATGATACCACTAGACCCATCTAAGAATGGCCAAAATCCCAAACACTGACAACACCAAATGCTGGTATGGATATGGAACTACAGGGACACCAATTCACTGCCAATCGTGATGCCACATGGTACAGCCACTTTGGAAGACAGTTTCTTACAAAACTAAACGTACTCTTACCGTATGATCCAGCAATCCTACTCCTTGATGTGTACCCAAATGAGTTGAAAACTGAGGTCCACACAAAAACCTGCACACAGGTGGTTATGGCAGCTTCATTCATAATTGCCAAAATTTAGAAGCAACCAAGATGTCCTCAGTAGATTGAATGGATAAAGAGGGGTACATCCAGACACTAGAATAGTATTCAAAGAAGAAGAAAAAGAAGAAAAGCAAGCAAGAATGAATAGAGAGGCAAAAAAAAAAAACAACAACAGCAACAGATGAGTCGAACAGAAAACCAATAGCAGAATGGCAGATCCCACTCCAGTCATATCAGTAGTTATCCTAAATATAAATGGAATAAACCTCCGAATTAGAAATCAGAGATTGATTTCAGGCAAACAGTATTGTCCAAAGTCCACAGTTTACATCGGGGTTCTTTCTAGGTGGTGTATATTCTGTGGGTTTGGAAAAATGTATATAATGACACGTATCCGCTATTTCCGTTCATTGTGGCTCCATTGATTATAACAAATATACCACTCAGGTACAGGATGTTGATAGTGGAGAAAGCTATGCCTCTATGGGAGCAAGGAGTATATGGCAACACTGTGTATTTTCCATCCAGTTTTACTGTTAACCTAAAACTACTCTAAAAAGTAAAGTCAATTTTAAAAAATAAGGCAAAGAGATAAAGCTATAAAGTCAGTAGAGGAAAAAAGAAGAAAGCAAGCAAGAATGAATAGAGAGGCAAAAAAAAAAAAAAAAAAACCAGATGAGGCGAACAGAAAACCAATAGCAGAATGGCAGATCCCATTCCAGTCATATCAGTAATTATCCTAAATGTAAATGGAATAAACCTCCGAATTAGAAATCAGAGATTGATTTCAGGCTCAGCTGCATGCTGTCTACAAGAGATGCATTTTAATTACAAAGGCACAGC